CCCCCAGTCAGCGCCCCCTCCCCATCTCCTCAGGACCAGGCACCTCCACATCACCCTCACCCTGCACTCATGGGCCCAGCGCTGGGCCACCCCCAGCCCCCCTTTGTCCCACCGAGGCTCATTCCAGCAGTCCTGGGGCTCGGCACGCCTCATATTTAGGGACCCCCAGGGTCCTGCTCCCTCCCAACCCCACCCAGACCCCGCGGGGGCCATCCCAGGGCTTTGGCCCCGCAGCGCAGGTGGGACGTGACCCGGTGCCGGTTTCAGCCCAGCCATACTTAGCCTCTGACCTTTCCCGGCTGTAACACGACCGCGTCAGTGGCCGCTGGCTCGTTTGGCCTTGGGATGCCCCATCCCAGCACCCCGTCCCGCCGGTTTGGGGTGACGCGCTGTGGCCAAGCAGGTTGGGTGCTGCAGGGCTGGGTGTGGGCAGGCGGGGTGGCCAGACACATGCACACACCTCCCCCAGGTGATGGGGGTGCAACGGGGTGCTGCAAGCCCCCCCTTAGGGCACCCTCCAAAAAAAACAGCCCATGGGGAGCCGGGGGGATGCTGCCTCCATCACTTGGTGTCCTGGTGACACCGGTCAACCCAAGCCGGTTTCTGGCTGCCAGGCGGCACTCCAGGCACAGGGATGTGGTCAGGACAGGGGAGGAATCTGGAAACGTCACCGTGCGTCACCTGGCATGGGGAAGCCCTCACCACAGCCGGATGCGACGGGTGGCTGCTGGGAGCCAGGCAGGTGATGGCCGTGGGAGCAGAGGTCCCGAGCTCCCTATTTTAGGGCCAAGCTGGGGGTCAGGTCTTCCCAGCTTGACCATGGAACTGGGCACCAACATAGCAGGGAGGGGAGTCCCCTTGTCTCCCCAGACCTTGGCCTTGGGGACCCGTGTGTCCCTGATGTGCAGAGTTGTTTATCCATCCTCCTCTGCTTCCCTTGCAGCCTGAAGTGCGCCTGTGCCTGGACCACGGCAGCATGTCGACAGGTGAGTGCTCCGTCCCCCTTGCATGCGTCCCCCTTGTCCCCCCCTTGTATCCATTCTTTCTGCATCCTCCTCTCCCCCCTGTCCATCCCCCC